ACGCCCGTCAGCCCGATGCCCCGTCAGCCCTACTCCAGTAACCCCCAGGCCCCGTCAGACCGTCTCTCCGTCAGCCCGAAGGCCCGTCAGCCCGACGGCCCGTCAGCCCGACGCCTCGTCATCCCGACGACCCGTTAACCCGACTCTCCGTCAGCCCGTCGCCCCGTCAGCACGACGCCCCGTCAGAACGATGCCCCGTCAGAACGACGCCCCCGTCAGATTGACGCACCGTCAGACGTTATCTTTACGCCCCGTCTGACGGACCCCCCGGTCGAAGGACGCCCGGAAGAAACGGAGGGAGGTAGAGCTAAACGGAACAGTCGACCACCGATTTTGCGTGATGTGAAATACCCGAGTGGTCACAGGGAAGTTGTTTTGCAAAATTAAGTTTGATTCTCTTAAAAATGTATTATGCTGTTATAAAAAAATAATATGCAACCTGTTGATAATGTTGCTTTTTTACATTCGTACAAATTTGAAAACTCCTAGAGTCGTTCGTTTTAAAATATTAAAAACAGCTTAACATTAAATACTAATTGCATAAACTACTATTATGATGGCTTCTGTAGTACAAGAAAAACCTCGTCACACCGTTGTCCGACGACTCGTCAGCCCTAAACATTTCAACGCCTAATGCATCCATCTCAAACATTTTGTACAGCCGAAATTTAGATCTCTTTTACTGATAAATTCAAAACATATCCTAAAATTTACTCAAAAATCGACAAGAGACATAAGACTCCCCCTTAATCTACAAGTGCTTAACTTGAACTAAAAAGCTAACACTGCTTTGCTCATCTTTCATAGTTTTAAGAAGGTAATAATTTAAATTACTTCATTTACTACTGTTGGAAGAAGATCCTCAAAACTGGCCTAAGAGACTCGGATACAAGAAAATATTTCTAACAATAACTGAAATAACGTTAAATATCACTAATAAAAGATGCAGTAACAGTTTTTACAAACTCTGCTTAACGTAGCCACGTGCGCACTACACGAAGTGGTTACGTCAAGTTTTGCTTGACATTTACCTTTACACAATCAAACTTGCATACATTTCTCTTAATTAGCATAATACTTACGATTTATGACATTTAATGTACTATGATATTTCATATGCAATGGTGAATATTCGCCAGTGAACAAAATGGAGGACTGGAATTCATATCAACGACGGCACCTGTAGAAGAGCTTGAGCACCGTAGCTTCAGTTGGGTTACGAGAGAGTGAGAAAAAGTTTCTAGAATCTGCCGCAAGGTAGCGGTGCGCTGCTTGCAGCAACAGCGGTGTTTTGCAAGGAGTTGGGCAAGAAAATTAGTTTTGATTATTTAATTTGTAATTTTTTCGATATATTGAATTTAATACTATCTAATATCCTACGACCTCGATGATATTTTTAATGCAATAATATTTTAATTTCTTTGGCGTTCATGTTACACAGCTGCTTGTTGGAAGATGACGAATCCGATGGACGATGAGAATAAGCACGAATTTGAAGACACTTGTTTTTTTCTTACAAATCTCCAGGATTCAAATATGCGAAACACTTGTTTATATCAAACGTTCATACTTTCTCTGAATCTTGTATCATTGACATTTCATCTATGTTGTAATTTCATTAAAAATAAATTTAAAAAAAATACTGTTTTGTAACAAAAAATAGTACATTTTGCGGGACATGCAGCTGTGAAACACAGACGGGAGAGTGTTAATTTTTTAAGTAGTTTTTTATTACTACTTTGTATCCACATTTCATGGGCTTTTTTAAATTTGAACACGGAGAATCGCGATCCTACGAGTAATAGAATTACTGATTGAAAAGAAGTCC